TATAACTATGTATGAAGGCTGCACAGATGCTAAAATCCTTTTGGAGTGATCTGTAAGGTCTCCCAGGATCTGGCCCTCAGTGACCTCTTTTAGCATGCTAGGATGTAATGCCATACCCCAAACATACCAAGTCACATATAGTCCTTGGAATATCTTGTGCACATGTTCCCTCTTCTAAAACATGCATCCTGCTACCTAGAACTGCCTAAGTCCTACATAAACTTTAAGATTTGACTAAACATCACCTCCTTCAAAAATCTCCTCTGATCACTTCTCCACCAAAGATGGCTTCTTCCAGGCACTTTCAGGTGCTCTCAGCTGAATGATGGCGAGACATCAGTTACCAGCAAGCCAAGGACAGGGTCCTCTTTGGCTTTTTTTTTCATTTGGTCTTTTTGAGACAGGGTCTCCCTGTAGCCCCAGCTGTCCTGGAACTCACTATGAGGACCAGGCTGGCCTTGAACTCACAGAGATCCGCCTGCCTCTGCCTCCCGAGTGCTGGGACTAAAGGCGTGCATCACCACGCCCGGTGAAAATGCTTTTAAGACAGCAAATGGGAGAAAAGGGAAGGTGAGGAAACAGGTTTACAATGACTAGTTTGGTGGTAAGATTATTACAACGGGTCAGGGTACCAGCAAGAAGAATCCTTTTACTATGTCAGGAATGTAAGAAAATTGTCAAGGAATCACTTGAGGACTTCTCTTTGAAAGCTATACATAGTAGTATTGCTTTCAATAGACAGAAACTGGGGGAGGGTCCTTCAGAGGATCTTGGTGCAAACATCATACAGGAACTTGAAGCTCAGCAGCTCTCCCCAAGGTTCTCCTTGCCGTGTGTCTCCATTAGCAACTGGTGTCACTATCTTGCCAGTTGCCTGAAACTGAGGCCTCTGCTCATCCCTCCCTCTCATCCATCTGGGCATCAGGCACCTGCCATGTCTTTTTTCCTCCCGAGATCCCATAAACCCATCTTTGCCCCATCACTGCTTGGTAGGACCTCCCTCCCCAGTCTCACGTCCTATAATCTTTTCTCCCCATTCTAGGATGTTGTCTTTCCTCCTCAATTCCAAATTTTGGCTGACTTTATAATCCAGTGCAAGCGCCTCAATGTGACATTCAGGCCCTGCAGCCACAGGGGACTTACAGTCCAAGCAGGTCAAATTACTTACACATGTGTCTCCTTCCCTTCTTTTTTTTTTGGTCTTTTTGAGACAGGGTCTCCTTGTAGCCCCAGCTGTCCTGGAACTCACTATGTAGACCAGGCTGGCCTCAAACTCACAAAGATCCACCTGCCTCTGCCTCCCGAGTGCTGGGATTAAAGGCATGCACCACCACACCCGGCCCCTCCTTCCCTTCTTGAGCACCTTTCCTAGCTAGGTTCTTTGCCTGGCCAGTTTGTTTATTTCACTATATTTTTTGTTTTTTTGTGGCCCCTGATGTCCTGGAACTCCGTATGTAGACCAGGCTGGCCTAAATCTCACAGAGATCTGCCTGGCTCTGCCTCCCAAGTCCTAGGACCAAAGGCGTGCACTGCCAAACCCAGAGCTGTATTTTAATTAAAATCTTTTTGATTGATTTATTTTTATTTTATGTGTATGAGTGTATTGCCTGCATGTATGTAAGTGCACCAGATGTGTACAATGCCTGAGGAGGTTAGAAGGAGGTGTTAGAAGATGATCCCCTGGAATTAAGTTACAAATGGTTGTCAGCTGCCATGTTGAACCAAACCAGGGTCCTCTGCAAGAGCAGCCAGTACTCTTAACCACTGAGCCATCTCTCCAGCCCCTGTATTTCAATTTATAATTGATATAAGTATA